ACCTTCCCCGCGAATTCATCATCCTTGCGTTGCAACGCAATACTGCCCTCCAACTGTTCGACCTTGGCGCTCAGAGTCTTGCACACGGTGTTGAGGGTCTCCACCTTCTTTTCCACCGCTGGTAGGCGCACATCCAGCGACAGCTTGAGCTCGGCGAAGTCCGCACGCGTGCGAGCCTCCGCTTCCTCCCGCTTCTTCTCGTTCTCCGCCATCGTCTTCAGGAGTAAATCCAGTTTCCCATCTTGCGCCATGACTTCCTCCACACCTTGGTACCCCCTTACTTTGCTTCCGAATCCAGTCAACCTGAGGAAGGCAAGTTGCCTTTTCGTGGGATCAGTTCCGAAGAACAGCCCCAATCCTTCCCCTGGATTTTGCGACCGACTCAAGGAAGCAGAGCAAGTTTGGCTCTGATACCAAACTGTTAGGACTCAGTTTCTCAAGAACAATGGAGGAGGATGGATTGATGGAATTAGGGGTTCGGAAACACAGAATGTTTAGAGTCTCTCGATCCTACAGGACCGAACCGCCGCCGCCAACGCTGCCGCCGTGTTTTCCGTTCATGCCTCCTCCTCTGTTCTTCTTAGTATTTAACAACACGCAACTCCAGCTGGCACAGCACAGCTTACGCACGCAACTCACGCTTACAAGGCCTCACTTGGCCCACACCGGTCCAGCAATTCTAGTATTGGCCTTCTTGTTGCGCAGCCCACGACCCAGCTTTGGCTTTGTCCTGTCGCCGTCCTATAGCTCGTCCGGGACGCTTGCTGTTTCATCGTCAGGTTGCTCCTCCTCTGCTTCATCCCGGCTTGCAGACCTGATAGATTGGTTGGAGTTGGCGTCATCCAAACAGCTGCGGCGATGGAGGAGATGGCTTGGCGGCAGAGGAAAAAGCAGGGTGACAGCGGCGGCTCGCTCCAGTCTATCAACTCTGAGATGAAATCATACTTGAGGCTACTGAGGTCCTAGAGATGATTCCTGCACGGGGAATCAGATGGTGGCACTGGAAAAAGAGAAATTTGGCGATGGTGCTTGGTAGCCGGAGTTGAGGAAGAAGACGCCAATCTCCCTTCTCTCTGTGGCATTGGCTGGGGTTCTTGAGGGCTTTCGAAGAGAAGGTCGAGGCGACGCGGATGGCGCGGTGGCTCGGCTTGAGGCGCACCGGATCATCGGGAACGGCGAAGCGACGAGCGGCGGCACTCTGGACACCGAGAGCGGCGATGAGCGCAACACAGTTGTGTTCGACCCATGCAAATTAAGAACCAAGGAAATGAAAGAGTTAGGCATGGCGCGCAGATCACGTTCCCATGAATAGAATGTCCCGAAGCTCTCTGGAGAAGATTTTCCACGTACGGATCAAACACCTTCAGCTGAGAAGGAGTGAGCGTACTTGGCTAGACAGAGAAGTTCTTGGTCTATCTCTTAGTGGAACATGATGAGAGATGAGAGAAGAATAGAGTGGTGGAGTGGCTGCTCACATGGTGAAGAGTGTGCTGGCAGGGGCATGCTAGGTGTCCTTCTATGGCATAGACACGATTTTGGAGAGAGGGCAAGGTTTAGGGAGATGTTTCAGCTTGCACTTTAGCTATTCTAGCATGAGAGACTGCCAAGGGGTCCCATTAGTGATTTCCTAGGAGAATGGAGAGGTATGTTGAGGCTTTTGGTGTGAATTGGATGTTTAATTAATCTCTCTCTCTCTCTCTCTTTCTCTTTTTGTTAATTAGAGGGTAGATCAAATGGATATTTAACCATGTGACTTGCTGGTATATGGATGACAAGTGGGTCCATGTAGATACATTCTAGGTATATGAGAGAGGTAGAGTGGTAGTTTGGGTATGAATTGTATTTTAATACCTCTCTCTCTCACCCTTTTGATAAATAATAGAAAATCAAAGGGGATGGAATAATGGTTGTGTTTAGCTGTGATGAGTGTGACAAGTTGGTCCCACATGTAAGAAATAGATGTAGAAGGAGAGACCTAGAAGCTCTAAATTCTCCAAGTGTTTAAAACTATTCAACATGCGGTTTATTTCCTCCTCTCTTCCATTTATTTAGAATTTTGGAGGAGACAAGTTTGCTTCAAGGTGGACAAGGTTTTGATGGTTCAATTTTCCAAGTTTGAAGTTTTGATCACTTTAAATTTTACGCCCTTCATTTCAAATTGATCTACATATAGTTTTTTTAAGGTTATTCCTAAATGATCTACATATTTGTGTTCATTCATTAAGTCTATTCGTTATTTGTGCATTAGAGTAAATGGACATTGATGCATACATCCATGCACACAAGTATTTATAACCCACATGCAAAATCTTGATTTACTATTAGCTAGGAAATAGTGGGGATGGTGCATGCTTAGAGTTTGTTGCTAGAGTAAATATAGTATGAAAGAGTTATTAGCTTTTCTTGGTCTTGGTGTATCTAAGAAATTGTAGATCAATTTGGAATGGAGGGAGTACTATTGTAATTTAGTAAATTAAGTTTACTAGTTAATTTATTGCTGCAGTCAAGATACTGTTTAAGTAACTTTTGACTCTCATTTCATGTGGTTACATTTCGAATTTTATTAAGAATTGCACCGGTGTTAGAGTACATTATAGTTAACATTCTGACCAAGTGGTTTTGCTAGATGACTTATCGTTAAATTTTGGTGAAGATGCAAAATAGGCTAAGTTATATGTTGTTTTCCAGATTTCTAGCTGAGTTGTAGGAATTATTTGAGGTATCATCTGAAGTGTTAAATTCAAACTAAAATTACTAGCAGCTTAGGGTGTTATTTAGTATTTATGCACATGCAACCATTTTTATTTTGTTACTATTAAGGATTCAATAGTGTAAAACCTGCTTTTACCAATTGTTCATATACCAACTTAAATATTTTGGTTAGGTTAAAGTGTAATGCCGAGAAGATTTAAGATTTAAAATTAAGATCAAAATTGTTTGTTGACTAGAAAATTTGTTAGCACCAGATTTTTATAAGATTTTATTTTGGATTGATGTTGTGCAACAAAACTATGTGTTTTAATTTATTTATAGGATTTAAGTTCTATGATGAGCTAATATGTTATCAAATGCTTTAGTTTTTAATTTTTTTTCATTTTCCTCAAAAATTTTCCTAGGTGAAATTCTCGGTATGTTACTGAAATAGCCTCCAACTTGGCTTACAAAGAGATAGAATACATGCATATATTATCACTAATACACCACATGCATATATTATCACATGCATATGTTATCACATGTGATAATAGCGCCATCGCTGACTTTCTCGTTTAATAATAACTTATCTAAGTTAAGATTGTATACAAAATTCTTAAATGGTTGAACAGCAAGTGACTTAGTAAAACCATCTGCTATCCGATCTCCTGAAGATATAAACTTAATTTCCAATTGCTTCCTAGAAAATCTTTCTCTCACAAAATAATAATCTACTTCTATATGATAAGTTCTAGCATGAAAAAGGGGATCCACTGACAAATATGTAGCTCCCAAATTATCACACACCACAAACTTATAGTTTGAGGCATAGAAATCCCTATCTCTTTAAGAAGAGTCTGTATCCATATTACCTCTGTTGTGGTATTAGCAACTGCTTTATATTCAACTTCTGTACTTGACTTGGAAACAATAGCTTGTTTTCTAGCACTCCATCATATCAGATTTGACCCAAGAAACACAGCAAAACCTCCAACTGATCGCATATCATCTACAGAACTGCCCAATCTGCATCTGAAAAAGCACTAACAAAGTAAAATAAGATTTATCAATTCTCAAAATAGATTAACTGATGACTTAATATATCTCAATATCCTCGACTGCCATCCGGTGTTGTACTGTTGGACTATGTAGAAACTGACAAACCTTATTCACTGCAAAAGAGATATCTGGTCTAGTCAATGTTAAGTACTGTAAAGCTCCAAATATACTCCTATACTGAGTTGCATCATTTACCCCCAAAGTATTACCAGTGTAAGCTGACAACTTCTCCGTAGTAGTACCGTACACTTACTACCAACTCTTTAGTTCCTTTCCAGAATTTAATAGTTTCTAATTTCCTAATTAAGAAATATGGTCCTATTTTATACTTTCAATTTAATATCAGCATGTAGCCATCGATGCAAAGTAACTTTTTACCAAGTATTTACAATTTATAAGATATTATATATATATGGTTAAAATTTAATATTTATGTCACGTCAATCATAGCCCGTGAAATGCACGGGTTGGCGACTAGTTATTGCTAATAAATTTTTGAACATTGGATAAAGAGGGATGACCCAAACAACTATGCCACTGCAAAATACTAGGCTTAACAACTCCGAGAACTTGCTTGGATGAAGGAAGCAATATTTTCGGTAGATGATACAATCCATTGCGGCGTTGCCTCCTAAGAAGAAGACTTTTCATTGCCTGATCCTTAATGGCAAAGAAACGAGAGTATACTTCAATAAAAGCATGATTATCAATGTACATATATGAGATTCCTTTTGGCTTAAGTAACATGTAGAATATTTCAAAGATAAAGATTACGCGTGTGTGTCTGAATTCTATATATGTTTAATCTCCATACTCGCACCACTTGCTGTATATGTTTGATCTTTAGAGTTGTACTTTCCCGAGTTGTTAGCATCTCCAACTCGCCGGTGATGCCGTGGCTCTAGTGTCCACATACCAATTGGGATCAACGTTGTATGAGGCTGCCATTGTTACCTCTAAATCTAGAACAAAAGTATCATCAAATCTATACCAGCAATCGCCAGCCAAATGGCCAGTGTTGCCACACAATTGGCACACCATATGAGGTTTGGAGTTGTAGCGATCGCCTCCGTTGCCGCGGCCATGGCCACGATCTCCACAGCCACCACCGGAGTTGCCATCGCATCCACCGCAGTTGGAGTTGTTGTTGTCGTTGTTGTTGTAGCCACCTCTCCCACCACCACATTTAGTGCTGTTGGCGGAGGAGTAGACCTGGTTTGCTGCCGATTGACGCAATTTTGCCCTGTACTCAAAACATAAAAGTTGAGAGTAAACTACAAAGATGTGAACTGGCTTGGTCTTGCCTACCAGTGATGAAACCACGGGTTCATAGTCGTCGTCGAGGCCGGCGAGGATGTAGGACATGATGTCTTCATCGTCACAGGGTTAGCCGGCAGTGGACATCTTGTTAATGTATTCTGTCATGGTTGTGGAAAGTGCGAGACAGGTGTTGCGAGCTCGCGCACGTGACTGGGAGGAGAGCATCTATGAGATTGATCTCCAAACATGGGCCGCCTTCTCCACGGTAGCGACCTGCATCAGGATTTCCTTGGAGAGGGATGCGAGGATGAAACCGATGACATGTTGGTCTGCAGCCACCCAAGCGTCATACGCCGGATTCAGCGCCTTGACTGTCGTCTTGTTGCCATTTTTCTCTGTGACCTCGATCTTGGCAGCTAGAGCGCGAGTCGTGCCGGTGATGTAACCTTCCATACGCGCGCCACGGAGGTTTGGAAGGATCTGCGCCTTCCATGGAAAGGAAATTGCCCCGGGTCAACTTCTCAGGGGCAGAATGCCTGGACAATGGATTGACGGCGGCGCTGGAGTTACTTACGATGGCTAGATGCGATCTAGTTTTGGTGAGGAGGCTCTGATACCATATATTCTCTGTAGAAAATATGGAAGCGTTCTCACCTCATACAGAGGTCGCATATATGTATTTGTATTGGTTCGAAATAGCCTCCAACATGGCTTACAGAGAGATAGAAGATACATGCATTGTAGTACAAGAAGTTTCTTATCCAAAGTCTCTCTTATCTCTAATACACGACATGCATATATTATCACATGCGATAATAGCGCTATCGCTAACACATGGGTGATTTTTTGGACTTCAATAATAGCTGAAGATGTAAAATATACTTTTTCCTAAAATAGAATGCAAAATTGTATTTTAAAAATTTAAAACATCGACAGTCAACTCCATTACAAATTCTTGGACGTCAGATTATAAGTACATATTATACAACTCTAATGTAACTTCTCACCTTCGTTGTAACACCCCTTTTTCTCTCAGCATTAAAAACTAGTTTGATGAAAATCTATCTGTGCAACTTTCATTTTGTGAGTGCAGAGTTGTAAGTCATGCCAAAATTCTATCAATATGTTTCCTTTTCTTGGTACCAAAAATTGATACCAAAAGAAAATTCCCTCCTATGCTGCTCATATAATTGATCCTTTTCATTTGATCTCTAGAAATCCCCTGGATCCAAATGTTAGATATTTCACTACTAGAAAAAGCATTTTTCCCAACATGGGGGTCTCATTTTCGCAGGCGGACATAACCCTTAGAGCCAAATGACCGCCTATAAAAATATAAATCGAGGTGAAATCTACCGTCTGCCTGCGAAAATCTATTTTCGCAGGTGGACCACTTAAGCGGCGTTAAGTGGTCCGCCTGCGAAAATAGACTCGAATATAAATAGACTTGGATAGGAGTGATTTTTTTCTAAGTCTCAAATCCTCCCCTCACCCACGGCTGGCCTGTCCTCACCTCTCCTCCCCTCCCCTCACCTCTCCAGCACGGCGGCTACGCGCGCGGGGCGGCGCAGCGTCCGGCGGTGGGGCGGCGCGGTGTCCGGCGGCGGTGCGGCGCAGCGTCCGGTGGCGCGGCTCCCCTCCCTCCCTCACCTCCCAGATCTGGCCGGACGAGGGAGGGGGGAGGCCAGCTGGGGTAGCGGCGGCGACTACGGCGCGCGCGGGGCGGCGGCGGTGGCTCCCCTCCCCCCTCCCTCCTTCCCTCCCAGATCTGGCCGGAGGAGGGAGGGGGGAGACCGGCGGCGGCGACTACGGCGGCGACGACGCGGGGCGACGTTGACGACGACGACCGGCGCGGCGACGCCGGAGGAGGGCGGCGGCGGCCGCCCGTGATTTTTTTTTTTTGTTTTTTTGAATGGATTTTCGCAGTCGTTTGGCTACAGGCGGTCCAAACCTCCGCCTGCAAAAATCAATTTTGACCGCTTGGGAAAATGCTTTTTCTAGTAGTGTTTGGTTTCAACCTCAACCAACTTTCAAGTCTGAAGAGATAATCTCTCCACCAATTCCATCCAAACCAAATACAAAATTCATTCCAAAACATATCAGGACATCCACTCAAAGAAGCATTCCTTGAATCCCTCTCATTTATCTTAGGTCAAATATCAAATTTAAATTTAAATTTAAATGCTCATACTCTACTATTCTAACAAGTCATTCTCAGGGAAAATAACAAAGTTTACTATGCTTCATGGGCGCCCATTCTTTTTCCTTCTCACCCAGCTGGCCCATTCTGCCTTCCACTCTCATTCCCCCTGCCACGCAGCACCAACCCATCTTTCCCCATCTCTTAGTTTACTTCCTCTTGTCCCTTGGCTGAACTTGCCCAGCTTATCAGCTCAGCACAGCCTGCCACTCTCTTGTTGTCCTCCTTCCTGCTGCCCAAGGTCTGCCTGTTGTAGCCGCTCTGGCGCGAATGCCCATCACCTTTTCCTCTGTGTCAACCGCCAGGCTCGCATGCCTCAAATCCCGTGGTTGTTCGGTCACGCTCAACCGTCAACCGTTGGCAGAATAGATTTAAGTGCCATAAGAGAGTCACCTCGTATAATGCCGGTCTACAAACATCAACATTGCCACTTACGAGGGTTTCACATTGTACATCACCACATTATGTTGACTCTCCGCCAACCATCAACAGCCAATGTACAAGGGATATTTAAGTAAAACAACATCGATGTTATTCAATTCATCAACATTCATAATTTGAAAAATGGCAAAAGGATTAGAAAACGTAGCTGATGACTCCAAGTTCCTCCTCTCAGTCAACATTTAGCTCTCTTTGGCACTGGGACAACTGCCAATTCTCTCAGGCTCAGACTCGTCCTTGAGGTCACTGTCGGTTTAGCTTTTCTGGGCTTGCTCTTTTTCTTGTGTAACACCTCTTGAAAATTATATTCCTCTTATTTGCCTTCACCCTACCTTAGCCTCTCAATATTATAATATGTGGGAATCTCACACTTCTCTATTCTATCGACCTCATCATATGTCATCTCTATAGGTTCTGGTTATGACCGAAAAGGTTCACTCAAAGGTATTTCTAGCTCTTGGGACTCGTTTTCTAGCGTCAACTCCTTAGCATTCTTACTCTAGTCCACTAATAATGTAGAACTTGATTTTTTCCAAATCACTGTTTGTCACCACCTTAGGCTTTTTAGTTGCATTTTTCTCCTGATATCACCAACATAGTAGATTGTGCTCCAATCCCCTACTACCCTACTGTTGGTGGCTGCTAAATGCCGATTCTATACCGCCAACATCTGCATAAAGTCTAGATAATAAAACATCCAACATAGTGATAGGTGTTAAATCTCACATATTCCACAAGTGTTGGTGTATATTTGTATGCAGGTGATGAACCCGAAGTTGGGAGGAAATCTAGACTAAAGTGAGGAGAAACATGTATTCATACAAGGATGGGTTGTGAACGCCATCAGAATATCAAAGACTCATCCCAAAATTCTGAAAATGGACAGAGGAGAGTCACGAGAGTCCACAGGCCGAAGGCTAGGCCGGGAGGGCCCAGCCCAGGTTCGGCCGAACCCCCTGGTTCGGCCAAAACCCTCTGATCACCGTTGATCCTGGGGTTTGGCGTGGATGCTCTAGATGCTCTCCTGATGACAGTTGTGCGGCAGTTCGGACATTTCCCCTTCTCGCAACCGTCATAACTGCCCTATAAATAGACTTCACTCCCTCACTTCACACACACACATCCAAGCTTGAGCTGAATTATAAGAGGCTCTCTTGTACTATATTGTATACTAGAATAGGAAGAGAGTAGAGTAGAAGACGTCGGAAGAATTCCGGAGTTGTCGGTAATCTTCTCTCATTTCTTTTATTCTGTTTATTACTCTGATTTCAATATAATATTCTTCCTGAGTAATTTAGATTTATCTTGTGAGAATTATCTCTTGGTTAGTTCCTAAATAGCTTACGGGATTATTATTCACTATAATCAACTAAAATATAGTGATTGCTTTGGTGAGTTATAAACATTAAAGTAGATATTAATTGCTTAGACATGGTGTTTAAGTAATTGTTATCCAATAATTGTTGCGTATCCCACAGTATGAGATCACTTAAGTCCTTCCTGTCCGGGTTGCCAGTGCCTGAAGTATTGTGTTAGGATTAAACTTAAGCTTTCCCTAGACACTGTTTCTCACTAGTAAATCCTCTCTATCCTGGCCTATCCTTTATTTGGTGTCCTTGGATGAACCGGAGGAAGATCTGACCACACACGTTCCCTTGGATTCGATACCCTTTGGAATACTTTGTAGGGGAAGTGCTACATCGGTATATCCGTGCGCTTGGAGATTTTATTTGTGACCGTAAGAATTACCAACAGCATTTCTGACGCCGTTGCCGGGGAACGGTTGCTGATCATTTCTGAACCCAGTTCATCCTCGTATCTCTTTTTTACTTTTTATTCTACCTTTACCCCTGCTACCCAGAGAAGTATTCCTGTCAAACTCTTCTCAACTATAGATCAACCTCTCTTCGAGCTGTCTGCTCCTAGGGGTGAATTCTATGAGCCACCTCCTTCATCGGAGCCAATTTATACAACTCGCTATGAAATTCGCCCCGAACTAATTAGCATGGTTAGGGAGAATCCTTTTTCTAGCTTTGATCCAGAAAATCCCTACCATAATCTGCGAGACTTCGAGCAAGTCTGCTCATGCCTTAAGATTCGTGGCATGAGACAAGAAACTGTACGGTGGAAATTGTTTCCGTTCTCTCTTCAAGAGAGAGCGAAGCAATGGTACACCTCTACCGTTGGATGCATAAACGGTATTTAGGAAAAGTTACGAGACAGATTCTGTCTTGCCTTCTTCCTAGTTACTCATATTACTACCCTTCGAGTAGAGATCTTCAGTTTCCAGCAGATCAAAAACGAATCAATTAGTGCAGCCTGGTCCAGATTTTCTAATTTAGTGTAGTCCGGACCAATCTTGTCCTTACCCGAATATGTGCTCTTAAAACATTTCCATACGGGTTTGGATAAGGAATCTGCATTCCATCTAGACATAACCGTCGGAGGATAATTCATGCACGAAACACCGTCAGAAGGAAATGTAA